TTTACGTTACGTGCACTGCAGACTTTTATTGGCAGTAAATTTTGGAACATAGCCTTTATCAAGTAAGATTTGCAGTCGCAAATATGAAAAAAAACAGTCTCGCATTGGTTTTTCTCGATCGATCGATCATCGATACACTTACGTCACGACACGTCCGTGCTCTTAGGACAGCCTTGTCTTCGGCCGAGAAGAACGCGTGGACAGGATCACCACTGTCGTCAACTTCGCTCATCGCCGGCTAGCCTTGCACTAAACAGTCATTTAGTTCGTTCGCCATGATAACAAAATACTCACGGGAGAGTTGGTAGAACGTGTTTTAGAAGCCCTGCCGGATTCATCAGGGCACACGCGGTACTCACGGCCGGCAATTCTTTGCCACTTTACCGCGACCTATTAACGATGCCCCCAGTTATTCTTCTGTGGAAATGCCGGATTTACGTAATCCTCCGCAAGAGAAATAACTAACGCACCAATTTTACGTCGATTCTATTTGATTTCTCGTCTATTTAATTCTTTTCTGATATTTTCCAGAATTAACCATCATAGAATTCGATTTTAAATTGAAAACGGATTTCAAACAAAGTGAATTTTTTTTAGAATTTTATCGCAACCAAAATTGTTTTTGCGTTATAAAAATAGAAAATGATAACGGAAAGTCGCCGATAACTAAATATAGAGAAAGATCACCGATACCGACATACCACTTTGTTTTTAGATATATCTTAAACAAAAGATAAAAATACAACTTCAAAAACGTAAATACAAAGTAAAAAGTGTCTTCTATCAGATAATACAAACAATTTTTATAATACTGTTTGCAATTTTACAATAATTAAGTTTTTCGTAAGTTATGCAAAAATGAGCGTCTGACAAAATGGGCTCCAAAACTGACACAGTAGGCAGTAATGCTACGTATTCCTATTCTTTTTTTCTTTTACAGGAATTATCTGTATAAAGTACCTATAAGTGAATGTATATAAGATTTTTCAGATTTATTTTACTTCGTTATAAAACATTTTTATTGAATTATATGCATATTTACTTTATGCTGTTCTGCAAGATGCAAATATGTAACGCGATAGTTTTTCTAGAGTTGTTCCATATATGCACGATTACCTTCAGCTCTAATAGACTTATTTGACACTATAAAGCAACATTATAAAGATTAAGTTAGCTCATGGTCTGTTTTACGGACAGGTGTGTCGGTTTACGCTGCATCCCAATTTTAAATTAAAAATCGTATTATGAAAAGACTAAGAGAGAAAATAATATAAATAAAACTTATTTCGGAAACTACAAGTATTTAAAATGACGTAATATTATTAATAATATAGTCACTATTATTTAAACCTCATAATTTGCAAAAGAAAATCGCAAAAATTTTATTTTCGCATTTATAGAATTTGTTTTTAGCTGATTTGATACAGAAACAAGCCACAAACCTACGAATTATGAGTTTGTACTTCTTTAATTAGCTAAACAGATCATGATTTTATTAGTATTAATAAAGTGCAATAGTTAGTTTCCGAAAAATAAGGAGGTGTCACTTTAGGAGACCTATGTCAGTATCGGCGACTTTCCTCTACTAAGTCTCCTAAAAGGCTTCCCTTATTTCTTGGAAATTAATTGTTGTACTTTATTAATACTAAAAACATGATCTGTTTAGATAATTAAAAAAAATACAAATTCACAAAATTCAATATATTGGATTGCAGTTTCTATACAAAATTAGTTAAAAACGAATAAATGTAAAAATAAAATTTGCACCATTTTCTTTTGCAAATTGTGTAGTTTAAATAATAGTGGCTATATTATTGATAACATTACATCGTTTTATATATTTCTAAATCAGTTCAATTTGTATATATTTTTATTTTTTTTATGATATGGCTTTAAATATAAAATAAGAGTAGAGGAAACTGGAATCAAAGTAACGCGGGTAAGTTGTAACACTTACATAAAAAAACGTTAGAGACAAAACATACAAGCGTAAGGAAAAGATAGAAATTTGTAATATAAATAATTACAAACTTTTATCTCTTTCTTATACGCTTGTGTATTTTATTTATAACATTTTTTAACGTAAATGTTACAACTTACCCGTGTTACTTTTGACCCCAGTCTTTCTTACAGCATAAACCGGCATACTTATCTGCAAGGCAGGTGTCACCGACACCATAAACTAACTTAATCTTTATAGTCTTGCGTTATAATGTTAAATAGCCTTATTGGAGATGAAAGCAATTGTGTATTTCTGGGAAAACCCTCAAAAAAAGAAATTGCGTGTTACATGCGTTTGCGTCTTGTAGAACAGCATGCATATAAAATGCATATAATATGCCAGGGTTGGCAACGTTACCTCATACAAATAACTCGTTATCGTTACCGTTCTTTTTCCTAAAAAGTAACTCGTTACCGTTACCGTCATTCACAATGTAACGAGTCGTTACTTTTTTTCTTGATACTAATAAAATGTTATAGCGTTTTTCATTGATAAAACTTGTGTTTATTTATTCTTAGTGTACATTAAAGTCGTTGTACGCAACTGTAATCTAAATGTAAAAATAAGATGCCTTAGAGATGACATAATACCTAAAGTATATTTTATCAAATAGCATAATAGAATATATTGAGGATTTCACGGTTTAACTCGTTTCTATATTTTTATTAACCATACATCTTTACGTCGATTGTACAGCGACTTTAAAGTGCACTGAATGCGCATTAGTTCTGCCAATAAAAAAACGCTATTATTGTATATGCAGAATCTTGCGGTAACTACAAAAAAGATGTTAGAATTCTATTTTTTAGTAGAGGAATAAAATTCAAAAACTGATAAATATGTATATACGCTCTAATTACAATTAAAACTTTTATGTAAACAGAAATAAAGTAACGATATAAAAGAAACTAGTGAAATCGTTACCATTATTCCAAAAATATAGTTGCGTTACTATATATGAACGTTATTCAGAAGAAAATATAACGTTGTTACTCAAGCGTTACCAAAAAAAGTAACATGTAATGGTAACAACGTTACAAATAACGCATTACTTGCCAACCCGGTAATATGCGTATAAATTAATAAAATGTTTTACATTAAAATGAAAAGATTCTAGAAAATTTTATATACGTTTACTTGTAGGTATTTTATATTAATAAAATTCTGTGAAAGAAAAAGAACAGAAATATGTGACATTACTGCCTACCGTGTCAGTTTTGGGGTCCATTTTGTCAAATTCTTATTTTTCTTATTTTACGTAAAAGTTCATTATTGCAAAATTGCAAACAGTATTATAAAAACTGCTATATTATCAGATAGTAGATACTTCCTAGTTGGTATTTATGTTTCTGAAGTTTTACTTGTAGCTTTCGTTTTACAAATATTATCTAAAAAAAACAAGCGGTGACCTATATCGCTATAATAACGTATACATATTTAAATAATTTTTGTACAAATAAATTTTTTAAATATTTACTTAAATGAGCTACTTACAGCTTTTACGCATCGCTTTATCAATTTATGTGGCTATTTTAAAGTCATTCCTAATTTGTATTGGAAAATTTTATTGACATCGATTTCAACATTGGAATTTTTGTATCTTAATAAATAAATAAACAATAATGATAAAACGCTCGTTATATGGCATAGCAATATATAATTAAATTTAAAAGAAACGACTGACTAAACGAGCAAAAAACAAAGAGATAGAAAAAATACTTAGGTAATTGTATATTTCCGTAATTTACGTAAACGATTAACATTTCGACTTCACAGAATCTTTTTCAAAAACTACAAATTTTACTTTCTTATCTTAATTGTGATAATAATAAACATTAGGATAAAGAGGATTTAAGCTACGTGAGCAAACCTAGTGACCCCGATATTGGAAGAGCCGTCTATTGTGTGAAACTCACGAAGATGGATATAACGTAATGAAACTAACTAGCTTGGTCTGACCAATTAACTGACCCAAGCACGACATAACATTTAACATACAGTCGCCTGTTCACGTGACTGTTTACGTATATGTATATGAATGTATAGAATTGTAGGAAAATTTGCTGCTAAAAAGGATTTCTCGGTAAATTAATCACGTGGAACAATTAATTGACGTTAAATTAAAATTGCGCGTAAATGAAAAACTGTTAAATTGCGACGTGCCAAATTTTATTAAATATAAATATTACTTTGAATATTACATTGAGAACAATTTCCGATTAAAAATGGACGAACCAGAGAATTTTTGATCTGGTTTTCTCTCAACTAGAAATTTAATGGATTCAACCAAAAAATTCTGATTTCATTTTCAACCGTAATTCCAATTAATGTAGCCAGACTCTTTTCCAGCGTATGCTAATAATACGTAATTTATTGCTACGCTGAAAGAAACTAAATTTTAATAAATATTTGTTTAATTCTAAGTAAATATTTACTAAATGTAAACATATATTTATTCAATACAAAAATCATAATTTTTTTATTGATAAATATTTGTTTATTGTAAGTAAAAGTTTATTTAGTATTAAAAAATATATATATATTAAGCTTTCATAAATTTTTTTTCTAGTGTCTGCATTCACTTTCTACGACGCGCATTTAACTAGCAAGTTACGACGATCTCTGAATTCAATTTGCGAATCCTTAGTACTATTCGCACTACATTAAACCGCAATTTTGCCAGCGCGTCTGACTATAAAGCCACAAGTTTCACTGAATAAGAGGGCCAAAGTCGTGCGGTGCTTCCGCGCGACTATCTCAGAAAACAGACTTACCTGCATCCGACAAGGGTTGTCGAACGTGCCAATTTCGACACGGTTTTTCCGATCGAATTTGCGCGGGCGAAGTTCCCACCATAAAATTCATCCGCTCGACGAGTCCAAGGATGGCTGAGCTTCCGAAGCACCCCCGTGCAGCTCGGGAAGGGGGTGGAGAATCTGGCGGGTGGTATAAATTTTCTGAGGTTGCGCATCGTGCTCGTCGGAGCCTGAAACTCGTGGTGGTGCCCAAGCACGAAGCAGAGCGCAAGTGGTGCCGAAGGAAACCGGTGGTCCTCCGCCCGCCGCGCAGGATCCCGTCCGTGTACGACGCGACGGTTCAGTCGCGGTCCCGTGTTCGGCGCACGAGTGCACCTTGCTCGGGACGGTAGCGGGATCGTACGAGGGCGCCGGGGTGAGTTTGAAATTCGACCCGATTATCGAGTGATTCGACGTAATTCCTGCGACGTCTATTTGTACACACCGCACCTAGAATAAGAAGAAAAATCACGGTAATGTAAACGGTTCGTCATGTTGTATCACACTTCGTTCACTTGCAGTGAGTTTATTTCGTGCTTTTACGTGCTCTATTTGGCGCGCAATTCTTAACACAAGTAGATCTGCAGAAGGCGTCAATTATATTTTAATAAATAAATATATCTGTTAGTACAATTAATGAGATATGTAAAGAATTAATTATGTATCATAATTTTTTTTTATATTGTATATAATATAATAGTTATCTTTATTAATTACAAAATTATTAAATTTCTATTATTTTCTATATAGTTTTTAATTTCAATCGATTTCTATGTTCAACTTCTGTACAGCTTCAAATTCCAATTAACTTGATAACTTTATGGATCAATAAGTTCATAAATTTATCACGCACACATCTCACGTCCCTTCGTACATGGAATATAAAATTTTCAGATAGAACTAAATCCCACGATACATATTCATATCTCATTGTTTATTCAATCCTTTCGCATGTACGTGCATATGTACATCGTGCAGTTTCTTTTATTTTAGTCAATCTATCTTTTCCTCGACGTTAAACGCTCGCAAAAAAAAATTTCTTTTACGCGTTATAATTTTGGTTTCAAGTTTCTCGAAACCTAATTCAATCTTGAGAATAATAAAAAGCTCACTGTGTTGCGAAGATGATAAATGTGGCAAAGAAGTATATCATGAAGTATCTTTTCTCTCGGGTCTTCATATTCCCGATATTGAATTTGGCTTCTAGCCAACGGACTAACGATTTCGATATCGAGAGGATCGTGCTTTCCTGAAAGGGCCAAGTACTTCGCAAAAGTAGTATTTATGTGGGAATCACAATAAACGATCGTCGTTTCGTGTCTTGGAAAAATCTCGTAGATACATCGCAGATATCAGCGATCGTCGGAAATGAGAACAAACGTACCTCGCGAGCATTAATTTACGCTTTTCAGGCGGAGGATTCGAGAAAATGAGAAATGCTACTTTTTACTACTTACATTATTCTTTCAACGATGCCGTATCTCCCAGGAAATTACGAATGGTAGACAACGAGACTCATTGCTCTCGACGATACTAATATCGTACAACGTCGAGTACGACAATATGAAAATATGTGCCTCCAACAAATACGGAATGTTTCAGGAAGCTAATTTAATGACAAATCCTTCAACGAACTCTAAATTTATTTTTCTTTGGAAAAAAAATTGGCGCGACTCGGGAAGAAGATTAATCATTTCACTCGGGAACTGAAAGAAAAACGGAAGACGATGCGAATCTAAATACTCGAATTCTCAGAAGAAATTCGAATTATATGCGCTGTCTCTGCTATTGCAGGATACAGGTATAATAATTCGAGGAGCGGTCTTAGCGTCGCACGTTTATTTACAGACTGTTATATGATTGCGTTTTTTAATAAACTAAAAGGATCGCAAAGAAACGGGCGAAATAACACAAGATGAAAAATACCGCGGAAGGTTTCGATTAACAAAAATATCGATATACAGATCGCACTCATATCTCGTCGAGTGGTGGTACAAAAAGCACCGAAGTGGAATTGTTTTTCTTTCGTCAGATTTTCCAGTGAATATTGTTAAATGATTCTCTTCCGGATAAAGCCGAAGAGATGGAGTTTCAAAGGAGGGAGGAATCGTACCGGGATCGATTTTCCCGTCGAGATAATTTCGCGGAAGGCTCTTCATAATCTCGCTTTCATCCGAAACTCGAAGCGTCCGCGTCGAAATGGCCTGGCATGGTTAATGAATTCGCCGGGGCGAACTTATGCCGCGCGAGGAAGCAAGGACGGTCCCGTCGAGAACGTCAGCGTAATGTCAACATTAATACTGTTTCAACCTTTATACCTTATATCCTTCCAGCTGTCCGCCCACGCGCCGAATTAATGTTTTCGCAGATACGGGGCCATTGATTTTACGTCAAATATGGTTACCAGGGTTCGGCTATCGGCGCGACCTACGTCGACGTTCGACTCGAACTGTCTGTTCGCACATGTTACTGCGTTAAATCGTCGACTATCGCGGCCAAATCTGAACAGCGCTGTTGGTAAAAACCAGTTCGATCCCAATGGAGTCGACGTCTGCGAATGTCTGCGAATTAGAGAGTGATATCAATTCCTTAGGGCCTATCAAGTATCAAGACAAACTTGAATGGTTGCATAATGTATATACACAAAATTAAGCGATTAACCTAGGAATAGTCACATGGGACGATCTTTACACTCCAAAAACGGGGAAATGATGCTCAATAATTTTTTTATTGATCGATGATCTATACCTATTTTTTCAATTTTACCTTACATGTTTTAAAAAGTATTAAGTAATATTGAGTAAACCTATAATAATCATCAATATTAATAAATTGCAGAACAACACGTAATTTATATGGCTACTTTTAATTGGGATTTAAAAATCATTCCTGGTTTACGTTAAAAAAACTGACTTCTCAGGTTAAGTGTCTGATATAAGGATGCCGTTTATGTTCTTCATACTGCATGGCATGGTTGGTTAATTTTTCCTTGCATGTATTAAGACTGTAAACACAAAAAACTTTAAGATAAAATTTAAGCTGCAGTAATTAGCAAATCGACCAATCAAAACAATAGAGACGTAAGCAATAACGTAAGTTGTGGCAAATCAAAAATGTTGATTTGTTTACAGCTTATGTCTTACTGATTAAGTTTTTTTCTGTAATCTTCTCTCTGAAGAGTGAAATGTCACTCTTAAATATTAAATATTGAGCCTCAAATTGAGAACAACACAATTGAACCCTAAATCTTCTTCAAGACTAGTTCAATTTTCACTCTTTAGAGTGAGATTTCCCTCCAGAGAATTTAGAGCGTATGCTGCTATGCAAGTTTGTCCGGATAAGCCCTTAACTCATCATCACTTGTCATAATGACGAGAAATAACTGCATATTGGGCGACATTTTTATCACAACAAACGTTCTTTATATGTTTCTTCAGGCAAAAGAAAAAATTGATTATTCCAAGCTCTGACGGGAAGAAGAAAGAGAAAACAAAAGCGAATGTTAATGGAGGGCAAAGTCAGATAGTAGACGCAGTATTCAATCGCACTGTATAGATTACATCCACCCGATTCGCACACATTCAAATGCGCCTGCATCCATCGAATTAATGCGGTGGATTGTATCCGTTCCCTGCAATGGACACGTTGCACACCTCGCGTAACAACGTTCCTCGTCACGTGTCCCTCTCGATCGGAGGGTGGAAATCGTCGGACATCAAGCATTCCACAAGAGATAATCAATAAACACATCATACCCTCGTATACAAATCTCTCCGGTTTTAGGGATTGTAAATTAACACCAATGCGTTAATTAGATCAACCCGCTCTTTAAAATCCTCCCCTCTCACGGTTGTTGTTGTTAGGAATTGAAATTGGGTCATGCCCATTTATTTCGAGAGAGGGTATAGAAACGAAATTAAATGGCTGAATTTCGGAAAGCGAAAATTAATCAAATCAAATGGAACTTATCAAAGCCCCCTTTTATAATCTATGTTCAATGTTCTTATTTTAGAGATCCTTGATATCTAATTGCCTGTAATTTCCTGCGGACGTTTTCTTACACGTTTGTACGGTCGCATGAATGAATTTCCGCGCGTAAGAAATGAAACCTTTGCTTTCGAATGGCCTTTCCTATGATTGGAAGTAATCGGATCAGAAGCAATTTTCGAACCGTAAGAGAACACGTCCTCAAAAGGAACAATTTTAATTGAATATCCTCGCTTTTGCTGAATAATATTTTGTTTCCATGATAACGACGAGTTAGTTTGAATAAATTGATGCTAGTTTGAACTTCGCTTGAGAACACAGTTTGCAGTTCTCCACTCAAACGATTCAGAAATCAATTTCATTGGGAGGAATAATTCTCCGCTGTGTGATAAAAATAATAGAGACGCGATTAAAGTGAAATTATTAAATAATTATCATCAAAGAAGAACTTCTTTTCAGAGATGTAGCCGGAGATACATCGTCGCCACGTGACCGACAAACTCTTGCAAAGTTTTCTCATTTCGAGTTCGTTAACACGCAAAACCGCCGGCTTATCCAGCGATCCGTCTCAAGTCGACGAGAGCCTCGTAGACTTACGAGTAACGTGAATTATACAGCGTTACTTTGAGATCGTATATTGCGTCTAAAGACATAGAGGATGGACTGCGCCAACCGTATGAAAAATTGATCGATAAAAATGAGAGAAATAGGACGCAAAGACGATCTCTGTCTCTTTCTATTCAACCAATCACAATATCTTAGAAAAGGAAACTGGCTGTCTTCATGCTCTTTCTCTCTTGTTTTTGTTGACCACATTTGATACAATATTTAGATATGGATGACAGTCCATATTCTATGCCCGGTATTTATAGTCTTATTTCAAGGCCGTCTTAAGTAATGTCTTAAGACGCTAATGCGGCCTTCTGATTAGTTCGTGACACCTCAAGGCTGAACTTAAGACGATCTTGAATATAAGAACTGAACTATGAATACCGGCCTATGTCTTCGATTGCCCAAAGTAAGTTACCTAACTCGCCCCGATTTAGATTCGAGCTGCAAATAATTGCGCCAATGATACCCGGCGGCTGTGATTATGACGGAGATAATAATGGGAACGATCGTACGTCGAACTTTGGGGGTAGTAACGAGGATGCGAAGTAGTTGATATGCGAAATATAAACACGAACACACATAACAGCGGGGTGGGTCAATAACGTTTAGTTTAGATCACGCGCGCGTGCTTGCACAATGTACACACATCTTCGCGTATACACGGAGAAAATTTTATATTTAAAATTACTATAATGTGATAGTAGCTGCTTCATGTAAATTATAAGTTTAAATGCTATAGTTATTTTTAAAAAATAATAATATAACGTAATTTTTACACTTTTCATAGTAAAAACGTTTTATTACAAAATCAAATATACCTAGCAAATTTTGTTTGCGTACCACAGTAAAAATTAACTGTTTTCATGTTAGAATATGGCTTAACAAA